CTCTCTACATCTGAGCAGGAAGAAAAAAACGCGTGAGAAACCCAAATGAATCCTCTGTTCCAGGAACAAAATTTTGGGTGTTTCAGAAAAGAAATGATTAGAAACAATACCTCCGATTTTGGAACCAAACTTTGATCTGCTTGGGCTCGATATTGGAGAGAATTGGGCACTCCCTGATGAGCTGCTGGCGGCGCATAGAACTGGGTTTTGGGCAATCATAATAGAGCCTCTCAAGAGCTTCGACTTGCTCAGGTGTGTACCTAACATATTTGCCATTATCCATGCTAGCAGCATCTTTGCAGCTGGAGGTCACAGCCATCATCCCCACTTGAATTCCCACAGAGGCAAAACAACAAACACCTTTCAGGCATCAAATTGGAGGACAAAAAAAAACCCACCATAAAGAAAGAGCAATCAAAATTACCAGAAAGCAAAGACGCTTTATATCCAAGAAGAGTTGCAAACGATCAGAAACTCCCTCCCTTCCACCCTCCACCAAGTCATACAACACACACCTCCGCCATAATCATCCAAAAAAACAAAAACCCAAATGGCGGCTTCAGCAACAGAGAATCAGAAAGCGAAAATCCAGAACCGGACGACAGGATTGTGAGTAGAACACTGTAAAATGAAAATGGTATGGAGAAATTAAAAGGAAAGAGCGAAAGAGAAGGGAAGATTGAGAGATGTGAATGAGGAGAGATTGGGTGAGGAGAAAATTCTTAAAAGCAGCGGACACAAACACAAAGGGGAGCTACAAAATCTCGATTTTCACATCACTATTAGAAACCCATAATTCTTTTTTATGGCAGTGTTCATCGCTGTTGCTTTAGATGGCGTCGGCTTTTGATTGCGTTGTTTGGGGGTTGTGGCACTCACCACAGTGCCCAGTGCCCACTCGGCGCTTGACTAAAATTATGGTCTCCCATTGCTTTATCGAGTGAATGCAATCTACCGCGTGCTCGAATAGTGTAATATAAATTTCAAAAAAGTGAGTCCATCCATACATACTTTTTTTTTTTTTTTTTTAATTTTTTTTTTCTTTTTGTATTTTCAAAATTGTAAGCTTTTGGTTTTTGTCTATTTCTAATTCTTTCTTTGTATTTTCAAACTGTAAGCTTTTGGTTTTTGTCTATTTCTATTTTTTGTATTTTCAATTTGTAAGCTTTTATTTTCAGCTTTTTGTCTATTGCTCAAATTTTAATTTTTAATCATTTTTTATTTACTTTTTAAACCTTACCACTCACAATTAAAATTTAATAATCTTACCCGACAAAAAAAAATAATAATATATATATAACATGACAAATACGAGTAAGGATTTATTACATTTTTAATATTATCAGACCAGAAGTTAAAAGTTTCTGACTATAAATTATGGATATCATGGGTTGAGTTAGAGAAATCTTTTAAATTAATTGAAAATTTCGAGTTCGTAGGTTGGTGACTTGAGCAATTGCTATTTTCCGAGTTGTCGGGTTGTTTTTATTTTTTAATTATTAAAAAAAATTCTATTTATTTACAGTTACGTTAATAACTAAATCAAATATTTTTAATTTTCATAATAATCTTAAAAGTAGGGCCAGTTAGGTTGGGTTGTAACCCTATTTTTGAGTTGGTCGGACAAAAATAATGTTAATCCACTGTAAATTTTTTCAGTTTTAAAAGATTCAACCCGTCCCAAATTTTAAAAAAAAAAATCTAATTCAATCCCCGTTTTATTATTTGGGTTAGTTGGTCTAAGTTGATTGGGTTCTCGGGTCAAATGACCACTGCTAGATGGTTTAGAGCCGAACTTAAAAATTTTAAACTAAACCTGTAATTTAATCGGTATCATATTTTCAAAAAAGTTTATTGGAATAGTTAATTCTTTTTTAAAAGTAACCATTTTTTGTCATTTTGCTTTTTTTTTATCTCAATTTTCTTTCCCAAAACACTACTTTTAATGAATTTTATTGTTACATTTTTTTTGTTGCGTTAAAAATTTTCATCAAATATGTAATAATTTATACAAACAAATAATAGATTTAAATTTTTTAAAAAAATGTAAATAGATAACGTTACACATCAAGAGTATAATTGTGACGTCTGGTTGGAGGAGGAGAATCCTTTATAAGGGTGTGAAAACCGTTCCTTAATAGACACGTTTTAAAGCTTTGAGAGGAAGCTCGAACAAAAAGAAAAGCCCAAAAAAGACCGTATCGGCTAGCGGTGGATTTGGGCCGTTATTGAATGTGTTTATAAGGTTAAAATGAATGATTGGAAAATGATTCCAAAGAGTTGTTGGTGACAAGAAAGGTAGGTGGGCGTTTTCATTATCATTCCTTAACCAACTCTTAATTAACCACTTTTTCACCTTTCATTTCTTTTATGGACCCATTTTTCCCTATCGACTTTCTCACGCGACCCAACGACCCTCTCGCTAATATAAAGTATTTTTAGATAAAAAAATTTGATAAGCTTAAACGAACGATGAAAATTTCAAAACATTTCAAGAATACCCTTAAACATTATTAGATGTAAAAAAAATAAATAAATAATCACACTTTTGATAGCAGCAAACTTGCAATTGTGCCGCACTCACTTCCCAACAACAAGTGATCTAAATCAATTTATTCTTGTGTCGCCTGCGACCCAACAACGTATGCTCGAGCCTCTAGCCCCAGTTTAAGAAGAAAGTTTTAGAAAACGAGGCAGAGAGTTTTTGAAAGATTGAAATTAATATTATATGTGATGCAAGCAAAAAAAGCAACAACGACTTACCGTATATAACTATTGGATAAGGAGAAGTAAGAGTATTTAATTAATCAATCAGTGGCAGACCAAACCAAATGGAGATTATTCATTATAAAAAGACGCGGTTTTGCAAAAATAAATAAACTATAATTACTTTTTTAACCCTAATTGCATATCCCATAAACCCTATCCTAATCTCACCCTAAAAAAGGGGTTCTGTATGTGGGCCCCGCCACTTTCCATTTATTTTTTATTTTTTATTTTTTAAATATTCATAATGTGTTCAATTATTAATTCTATTTATTTTTTTAATTCTTACTTTACCAATTTTTTATTTTTTATTTTTATTTCCAAATCAAAAGAGGCCAACTTGAGCTGTGGTTATCGTTTTTAATTAAACTTGTGCAAAAGCTATCTACTTGTCGTTCTAAAAATATTAAATTATTCTTATTATATTTTTTTATTTCTTCTCTATTAATTTATTTGAATTTCAAATTTGAACGGTTAAAAAAAGTATCACATATTCAAATCTATAATTTATTGTTATGAAATATGCACGTATAAGTAGTTTAAATTATCGTATTTATTGAAAAAAATATTTAAATATACGTTAATTTTGCAAATGTGAGCCATTATTTGTTTAAAGAGATTAATTTAATTAAAACGTTAATCAAACTAACTATCATGGTTGAGCTAGTTGACCTATAAGGGTTAACCTCGTGTTAAAGTTAGCTGATCTAACCAACCCTTGGAGATGCCCTCATGGTCAAGTTGGTCAATCCCTTAGGGTCAACTTGGTTGAGCTGACCCTATGGGTATGTATTAAGGCCAGCATTCGACGTTATTTCTCCTATGTGAGGTAGCTTTTAGCTTCACTGAAATATAGCATTTGAACTTACTCAAGGGGAGACCTTGGCAGGTCAACCTATCATATTGGTCGTTGATCCTTCTCGGAGGGAGATCTTAGTAAGCACAAGGAAGGTCGAAACAGACAACACCAACTATTGATTTGTAGAACAAAGAATCAAAGTGTACCTAAAAAGACTAAATACTTGTCCCACACTTCAATGTCCAATAAAAATTAGGTCTATAAGAAACTTAAATAGTAGAATTCACAGCGGTATGGTGTACTATCGAATGTGTCACCTTCCAATAATTATAAAGGTAATTCATTTCAGAATCAAGCTAGTCAACCTCTATAAGGTTTGCATCATGGTCAAGGTAGGGTTGCCTCGTGTTGAAGTTGGTTGAGCCAACCCCTAAGGGTTCGGTTTCAAGGCTAAGTCGACCCTTCTCGTTCGGATCATGTTACCCAAATAGGGTCGGGATAGTATTCTCTTCTTTAGGACAAACTAGTAATTTCACCCACAAACTGGGAAGAGCGTGAGAAGGAAGGCAAGGCAAGGTAAGGAAATAATGTATTAGAAAAAGTGAAGGGTAAGGGAAGGTGGTGGTGGTGGTCCACACGTGTGGCCCCGAGGAAAAGTGTGTGTGCGGGCAGACATGACTTTGTGTAGCTCTAGAGAGAGAAAGATCTTATTTTACCGTATAAATACGAGGAGTGTACGTATTCGTGGAGGGGAAGACTAGGGTGCGGCGCATGTACACGGGAAAGAAATGTAATGATGGAAATGGGACCACAGGATTAACGACGCGTGTCGCTTCTTTCGGCGTATCAGAGTTTGCGCCAAAAGCAGAAGGGACATTCTTGTGGGGAAGTGGGACCTCGTGTTTCCTCATCCTTTTAACCCTTTCTAACTGTCAGGTAAAAACCCTCTTAACAAAAATTAAATATTTTCTTACATTTATTATATATTTTAAAATTTTAAATTTAATTTTTTAACTTCTAATTACACGAGTAGAATGGGATAGAGAAACTTTTTCCATCTCAACACCGCTCCAAATCGGGGTCGAGATTTAAGAAACCTTTTACATCTCCATCTCAACTCCGAGGTCGAGATTTTCCATAGAAAACACGTGAAGATCAGATTTTCCATGGAAATTTATGGTAATTTTACTTAATTTTGTCGTTTTGGTAGAATTTAGTAAGTTTCTTTTTAATGGATTAAAAGAAAAAAAAATGGAATAGTTTAATATAATTACAGTTATGTTTGTTTTAGATCCCATAGAAGACCTACAAATAAACAACAGTAAAATTTATGTTCCTTAGTCACCTAACAACTTTGACAGAATGTATTACTCTTTTGTCTCCTGGTTGGGCAATTCTATTTACCCTAAGGAAATAGGTAGCCCTAAAATTATCTTTTTACCGCCTTTATCGGATGAAGTGAAATCCTCGTTAAACCTCACATCACTTGAAGGAGGGAACGAGATGTAAAAATTTCTCCTTAGTAGACACGTTTTAAAAGCCATGAGGAAAAGCTTGAAAGGAAAAGTCCAAAAAGTACAATATCTGCTAACAGTAGACTTCGACTGGTGAATTAATCACATCCTACCGAGAAAGGAACCCATTTGGTTTGAGTTTAAGAACAAGGGTATTAAGAAATGGTCTTACAAGCATGAACCAAGCAGGCCTCTCTGCCGCGCATGCCAACCAGTGACAACTAACAACAGTCCTGCACCTTAAATCTGCATCCAAAGCTTCAATCCAAATGATATTCAGACATGATTTCAATTACCAAGAGTCATTAACAAGATTTCCGTAACAAATTATAAAAAAGTAGACAAAAGTTTGGTTGTTTACAGCGATCTAGAGGTTCATTGGTTCAGAACCAACTCCCAAATTGACAATTTTTTATGTGATACTCATCTGAACAGGAACTTTTAATAAAATAAGAACCAACAAACATAGCAATCATTATAACCCACTAACCAATTCTCCTTGATCTAATGGCTAGCTAACAATTAAGACCCACCAAGCTACTTGAATATTGACCCCAAATGGTTGCACATTTTCTTAAATCTTAGTCTAAATCATTCTTCTTTAACGTGTTCTACAGGGTGGTGTAAATTAATGACTTCCTCTTGTCTTTACCAGCTACAAACTCCCATGTTCATACCAAATCAAGAACAAATGAATGATCAAATATGACAGTGACAAGAGGATCCTAATATCAGCTTAATCTTAAAAATTTGCTAGCATTTGGATAGATTAGGTAAGGATATGACATTGATAACCTAACAAAGTCAATAAAAGAGTCTATCTCATTGAATTTTTTGTATTTATAAATTGGGGTGATTCCACTTGCCCACAACTTTTCTCCATAGTCTAAGTAAGGAGATTTGAATTCCATGTATTAGCATTACTCAGGTTTTCAACTCAGTAACTATTTATAGAACTTAACAGGAATCTCATGACCCAGTGGCCTGAAATTACAAACTCCGGCAGATAAGCTAATTGACTGAAAGAAAAACACAAACTGATGCTATTTTCAACATACTTACTCATGGAGGCGGCAATCAAGGTCACAATGTCTACACAGAAGTCGCTGGAACAAGATGAAGCCGAAATAATGTTGTGTTTGAAGGCATTTCTGTCAGAGGAAGAGAAAAAGGATTAGTTTACATGAACTAATTCAAGCAAAGTTGTGTTCTTCAGTTTTGAAGAAATTAACAGAATTTGTATGTCAAAAGATATGAAAATCATTCTAAGAAGAAACTCTTACCTGTAAACACGATTACATACCGAAATGCAAGGTGATCATCCATCGTCGAAGCGAGAGCTTCAAGAAAGACGTTGGGCTGTCCATGGATTAAGACAATGGGCCTAATTAGAGCTGGGACAGAACACAGGAAGTTTATGCTTGGGCTTATTACTAATTTCGTCCAACTAACAAATTATGAAAAAAGGAAAAGAGGAAAATGTATTTCGATATGTATTATGTACATGACATGCTTGGCTTTTATTTCTTTTGATGCAACAATTTGCTCCCATTCCTCCTCCGACACCATTCAAACGGCCGCCACTCCCGCCGCCCACCACCACCACCACCTCCTCGACTTCTCTAATGACAACCAAACCAAGCCAGCGGGAAGCAGAAAAATTTGAAATTAAATAACGAAAAACGTTTGGCAATCCAATGAAGAACAGTAGGTGTGGTCGCATTGTTTGTAAACAAGCTTTGTCCCCTCTTCCCCAACTTCCATTCTGACAATCTTCATAGCCTGTGCTTATCAGTTTCCTTCCCAAAAATATAAACGAGAGCAAAATTTACCATTTCAGAAGCAGGCAAAATATAAGTATAGCCAAGCAAATTTGAACATCTTAAAAGGATTTCATGAAATTCTGAGTTTCCTTCAAAGAGTCAGAGAAGAGCCAAGAAAAACCACCCGAAAAACGAGGGTAATCAGTCTTATTCGCTAGGGGGTCATGTGGTGTTGATAATACTCAGATAAGAAAAATTATGGGAAAAGTGAGTGTAATGAATTGGGGGAACATATTCGGGAGTGGAGTTGTCTCATCAGTTATAACCTCAACCTAAACAACAAATAGATACTGGGGCAGCTCCAATATGATGAACAGAATATATGATTCGGCATCCTTTTGTGTATAGCCACACTTCAATCAGAGCATTCTCCTAAATTCCATCCCTTATCGCGGCACACAGAGACCTAATTCTGAAACACATTGAAAAAACCAGAATTACTTCAGCATTTTACTTCAAGTGGAGGAGATACTTCAGAGTTCAAATAAATGCTATCATCCTCTATAATGCTGATTACGAATCAACTAAACCGAGTACTTCACGACCAATGGAAGTCAGATAAAGTAAAAGTATCTAATATGGAAGGCCATACATATGAAAGCAAATACTTCGATCTTTTAATTGAAGAGATGATATCACCAAATAACCACTAGTCATTCCTAGGGTTGCTCCGTCTTATAGTGATCAATCATCTATCTAACTACAACTAAATGCACTACATGGGTATTGTTGTTATCTACTTTCTATGAAAGCTAGTCTATAATCCATATCAACTGCTACATTTTCTCAAGATCCAATTCAATATATTTCCTTCAGGAGCTAAGATTAGATTGATGCTAAGTTCCAGAGTAACACTTACAACAGCAATGAAAACAAAATTCTTGACAACTACTTGAATCCTTTAAGAAAATTTGTTGGTTTCAATAATAACCGATCATACTGGAGCATATTGAATTGCCATAAATAGACTTTCTGTATGTCTATGTAATAACATTTTAGTATCTCGAAAAATATTGAATTATGAAGAATGTAAGCTTAGGTTGCAAAATCCACAGAATGATTTTTAAACACCATAGATGAAATCCCCACAACAAATTAATCCCATATATTAAAATAACAGGACCAGGACCAGTTTGAAAAGCACTTGCTACAGTCTTTATGTGACTTCTTGTACGTATTTTCAACATTAGAAGAACTTTGAAGGAGCATAACTCCTCCTGATACTGTTTGCAAAATATCAATATCTAACTTGAAGCAGAGTACATGCGATCAGGCCTCTGTATAAATTAGCACATTTAGGGGCAGATTGACAATTGGATGTAACACTATACAAGTTTATACTACGTGCATAACCAAGAGTTCTATGAACGATGCATTCAGTGAAAACTATAAAAATCCTATAAAAATTCAACACTGGCACAGCAAATGTAAATGATAGTTCTTATAATATGACAACATTCCCTAGTTCGGCCATGGAGTATCAATTATCATCTTTCAAATGTCAATTTAATTACAATTTTAGTTGCTTTCGTAAGCCCAGGAAATAGGTATTGAAACCCATATGTAAACCCAAGCAAATGAGAAACAGTCATCCGAGCAGGCCTTCAAATGAGATGCAGATACGAATCAGAGCAAATATTTGGAGGGGAAAAAGGTGGTACTGAAAAACTTAACACATAAACTAATGGAAAAAACTTCAAATTGGACTATATTTAGGGAGAATCATAACAAACAATAGAAAATCCATTCATATACAAGAGTTAAAAAGTTGCTTACAGATAAAAAATTACAAAGAATGGAGATATCAAACTCCTGGATTGGCACTGCAGAGCATACCCTGAGACAATGACCTCGAAGACACCGAATCGATTCCAAGACACGAAGTTAGCCGCGCCGAAGAGACTGCTGAATGAAGGGGAAGCAGAGATTCAAGGGAACCCAACCGCGGAACCAACCTGAAGAATCAAATCACTCTTAAACCCTAAGTAAATGGTAAAATCACAAAGAAAAGAAAATTCACTAATGGGGCAAAAAAAGTGATCAATAAACTCGCTTGCCTGGAAATTGTGGGCGAAGAACGAACGGTGAAGAAAGAAGCTGGTGTTGCTTTAATGGAGGGTTTGGTTAAGGTGGATTTGATGAGGGAAATAGTTGGGGTTGCAAGAGATCGACAGCGGGAAGCCATTGGAAATGAACGGAGAGAAGAAGGTGAGAATTAGGGTTTTTCAGGAGCTGCCTAACAAGTCCAATAAGAAGAAAGGTTTTGGCGACGCCTTACATAAATCATTTTTTGAGCAAAAATCCATTTATTCTCTCTAAATTAATAAATTTATTTACACATTTTTGTTTTAATCCATAAAAAAAAAAATGTATTAAAATAAATTATTTAAAACTCTTAAACTTTATATCAAAGTGGGCTAATAATATTAATCTAAAAAAAAAAATATAAATAAAAAATTCAAATCCTTAGATACTAAGCCTTAAATATATTGCTCGAGTTATTTTCTCTTTGGTATAAATTGATGTAACGGTAGTAGATATTGTTCGTTTTGACTCGTTCTGCTAAACACATGTTTCTTATAAGAAATGTTTCGTTCCCCTCTCCAACTGTTGTAGGATCTCACAATTCCTCCCCCTAAGGCCAACATCCACATTACACACCGCACGACAACTAGCTTTGATTTCATTTGTAACAGCTCATACCCATCTCCCGTGGGGCCAATGTCTCATTGCACACCACCCGATGACTAGCTTTGATACCATTTGTAACAGCCCAAACCCATCCCCCTTGAGGTCAACGTCCTCATTGCACACCACTCGATGACTAACTTTGATACCATTTGTAACAGCCCAAATCCATCCCCCTTGGGGTCAACGTCCTCATTGCACACCACTCGATGACTAACTTTAATACCATTTGTAACAGTCCAAACCCATCCCCCTTGGGGCCAACGTCCTCATTGTACACCACCCGATGACTAGCTTTGATACCATTTGTAACAGCCCAAACCCACCGCTAGTAGATATTGTCCGCGTTGACCCGTATAGATGTCGGTCTCACGATTTTATAACATGAATATTGATAACTTTTCGTAGAAGATTTGAAGCAGCCAATTAGTCTTTAAAATAGTCTTCAAGAACAAAAGTTGCATCCTGAAAATGTCACTTCTACATTCCAAAACTACGACCAATTGACAACAATAACTAAGCGATGTTTCAGCATAACAATACTCAACCGAGCATTTCTTCCTTACTAGCAGCTACAACTTGGCCGCCGCCATGTGCATCAACCCTTCTTGAGACCTCAATGAGATGAATGCTGAAGGAGAACGACATGGATTCATTGTTAGATTAAATCGTGTGTGACTGTATGTCTTGATTCCAACCCGACTAGAGTAGGCGGAGTTTTCCAGTTACGGCATCGATGAACTCCTTTGGCCCTGTTTAAAAGAGAGATGGACGATGCATATACGGTTAAGAATATGAATTAGTAATTGAACCTACCAAAATTCATGAGTTTCGAGGTGATTTAATATAGTATTAAAAGCTATGTATTTGAGCTCCTATAATAATGTATATGTAAGAGCCCAAGTCCAAGCCCACCACGAGTAGATATTATCTTCTTTTCGGGCTTCCCCTTAACGTTTTAAAACACGTCTGTTAGGGAGAGGTTTCCACACCCTTATAAAAAATATTTCGTTCCTCTCTCCAGTCGATGTGAGATTTCACAATCTACTCCCCTTTGGGGCCCAACATCCTTCCTGTCACTTGTTCCCCTCTCCGATCGATGTGAGATCTCACAATCTAGCCCCCTTTGGACTCAGCGTCCTCGCTGGCACATCGCTCGGTGTCTGGCTCTGATACTATTTGTAACAGCCCAAGTCCATCACTAGCAGATATTGTCCTCTTTAGACTTCCCCTCGAGATTTTAAAACGCGTCAGCTAGGGAGAGGTTTCCACACCCTTATAAAGAATGTTACGTTCCCCTCTCCAACCGATGTGAGATCTTACAATCACTATTTATTTATTAGGTTCCGTGTTATTTTCCAAGCCCACAAGTACAAGAGAGCGTGCAAAATTGAGCATAGCTCAACAATAAATGACAAGTACCACAACTAAGAGGACAGAGGTTCAGATCCTCACCAAGAAACGCGGTATTAACTCAAAAAATAAAATAAAAAAACATAGGAAGTGTTAAAAGTATGCCGTAATTATTAAACTTTCCGTAACTCATCAACTCAACCCACATATTAACACAGCAGAGTGATACGAGGAAAATCAATCAGACAACCTCAGAATTCTATCATCATAGGGTAAAGAAGCATTACCAGGTCCAATGGCAAGAACAGTCTTTGATCCAGCTGAAACCTGCATATTATTGAACCCAGTTTCAGGATACCAGGTTCCAGAGAACTGAATTTATTTTGTAAAACAAAATGGATACAAAAATGACTCGCTAGGTGTTCGTTTCGTTTATTGGCACCCGGAAGCGCATCAAAATCATAAATGCATGAGAATTTGGGCTAAACTAAACAGGATGGAAGAGAATCAATCTTCAAATAATATGAATCGTTTCTTTCAATCAACTATAAACACATCACATTCATAGCACATATAGTACCCATAAATGTCAGTAAAATATGTGAAAAATCATTTGACTGTTCCAAAATATGAACATAAATAATTCATCATGTCAATCATATTGTTCCTGGTTACCCCACCATTCAAGAACAGAGCGCAGATTGTACCTGCGTGCGTCCAGCATCAGCAACAACAAAAGTAGGGAGGCCAACGTTCTCAGCTGCATCCTTCAGTTTATTCCTGATTTGAGAAAATAAATAAATTTACGACAAATTTCAAAGGCGTAGCTTCAATAAACAATCTTTCCAATCCTCAACAGAAACCAACAAGTTCTTCATAAACCATAGGATTTCAAATGTTTATCACTTAGATGATTACATTTTCAAGAAAGAATCACCTGCTTACATTTCTTGTTGATTCTTGCATGTTACAACTATTTTTGGTTGCCCACATAGCTCCCATTGTCTCAAAAGGTTTCGGTGGCTGCACTAGATATTCAAAACGAAGAGCGGAAAAGAGAGGGAGTTGAAGAATTAGCTGCGTAAAGGCTTTGATCAAAACAGATAATTGGAAGTAGTATAGCTAAGGAGTACCTTTGCATTAGTTGTGCATACAAGCCAGTAGCAGCATCTTCACAAATTGACAGAGAAACATACAAACATATTAAGCATCGACTGCAGGAAGAAAAGAAGCGATAAATGGAACAAAGCATCTTAAATCTTACGAGCGCATTGAGATGCAATTTTTCCAGAACCCATCTTCAGATCTTGCCTCACAACAAGTACCTTCATTCAAAAATCAGAATGTTAGATGAACACGACACGAGTTACATAATGCAATGACTTGGTGTGGCATTCGGTGTACTTCCTACACTTAGAGAAGGGAAAAGATCTAACATGAGCCATAATAGAACATTTTCAAAATTTTGGAAATATACAAATAACTAAGAGTTACAAAGTGATAGGGCCCCGCTTACAATAGTATATGCAAGTAAGCGGGTTGGAAGGGGCATGGATACGAGTTGAATTGTATTCGTGTGAGGCCCAAGGATTTGTTAGTCATAGGGGTCATGGGGAGTGAGTATTTAGGAGGGTTGTTAGCTTTGGGTAAGGCATCTTTTGGCTATTCTGAATTTGTGGATTCTTGTGAGAATTGGGAGAGGTGGGAAGCTCTCAAATCTTCCCTTGGCACCTTGTCATTTGATCATAAATAAAATTTTTGGGCAAGACCTACCACAAAACAAGGATTACGCAGGTCCTGTGTGTAATAGCTCAAGCCCACCGTTAGCAGATATTATCCTCTTTGGGCTTTCTTTTTCGGGCTTCCCCTCAAGGTTTTTAAAACGCGTCTGCTAGAGAGGAGGAGAGAGAGGTTTCCACACTCTTATAAAGAATGTTTCGTTCTCCTCCCCAACCGATGTGGGATCGCACAATCCACCTCTTCAGGGCCCAGCATCCTTGCAGGCACTCGTTCCCCTCTCCAATCAATGTGAGATCTCAAACTTTGACCCTCGACTAATCAGATCCCTTTTCACGTCCTGGCTTGACAGACTACAGATACTTGATGAACAACAACAAAGATTGTGTGACCACCGTACTTAGAACTCGGCTTAATGTTGTGGCAAATAGGCATGTTCATGTAAAAGCTAATTTTGTTTGCAAATATCATTACACAAACACCTCAAATATGGACATAAACTCTCCTATCTTACAAACATCAAGCCACAAGAAAAATTTGAGCAATAGCGAACCATTTTCATTGCACAGTTGTATGCTCTTTTATGGCACATAGTTGAGGCTAAACTAAGAAATTCATGTTTCATCGTTCCTTTCATTCTATTTTAGTGATCATAATTCAGCACAAACATGTAGAGAAATCACAATAAAACAAACAAGCACATTGAAGACGAGCACTAACCAATTTGAGCTCTTGATCACCGTTGTTTGAAGCTGGAGATATCTGTTGGTACTTGGAAGGCAAAAAATAGCCCTTCTTAGCATTGCCTTTACTAGGTTTTGACAAATCCAACAAGAACCCAGCAATGAAACCAATAACGAGGCCTGGTATGAAATTCTCGGGTCTGAAACTCACCGAGAGCCATTCTTTTTCTGGCTTCACTTGTTGCTTCTAAAACACAGAAAACAAAACTTCAAATTAATTCAAACAACAATTCTCAATGGAAAGGGGGCAGAGACTGAGAGCGCAAAAGAAAGCAACACAGGAGAAATCGATACCTTTCTGGAAGAATTAGATGAACCCAACATGAGCCTTTTAGAAAAACAGAGAGAGCGAGAGAATTAGAGTGGGGAAAGCGCGGCTGTTTCAATTTTAATCTTATCTTGTGTGTGTTTTTGCCTGATCTCTTGAAGCTCGATTGCCAAAAATCGGAGTTCCAATCGGCGTAACTGCTACTGACTGCTGCAAGATTGAGCGGCAAGTGGTGAATTGGGGACCCAAAAGCCCATTGAACATTTTCCATCACAGGACCATTGCATATCGATGATCCAAAACAAGCTGCAATGTTGGGCCACGTTCACATTTTCGATCCAACTGAAATCGAAAGAGCGCTATATACATACATATCTATATATACATGCATATATACATACATACATACATATATATATATATATATATATATATATATATATATAATTTAAGCCAACTTTTTCTAATATTCAATCTGAGATCCCACGTTGATTAGAGGGAAAAACGAAACATTCTTTGTAAGGGTGTGGAAACCTCTCCTAGCATACGCGTTTTAAAATATTGAGGGAAAATCCAAAGATGACAATATCTTCTAACGGTGGATCTGAGCTGTTATCCAATGTTTCTTGGGTAACCTAGATTGAGTAAGAAATATGATAAAAAATAAACTTTAAAAAAAATAATTAAATTTAAAGGTGTACCAAGTGTTACACTCACATTCTGTCCGGACTCACAATGCAATTGTCCAACATTATTTTTGCACTCAAGTAAGCCAACCAACTAAAACATAGGTCGTCGTTAGCACAGATAATGTATGCTCAAGCCTCTAATTTCATACTGGAATTTTTTTTAAAATATTCAAAAGTCGATTCAAGAAAGCAATGATACATGCTAGCATGCAAATAAGCAACCAATCACAGCTTTAATAACGTGTAACCCAGGTAGAAAAAATTGACAATTAGTCGCATACCCTTATAATATATTTTGGGGCATTTTAGTCTTAGTAGATGTAAACATTATTTTAATGAACGGTCATGCACCAATCTAACATAATAATAAAAATAATAAAGGATTAGCTAACGTGAAAGTAAGTAAAAAGGGTTTGAAATTGACATGCAGCTACAAACAACACGCATTTGACAAGCATAACCGTGATATTAGACATCTAGTCATAGACAACACGCTCTAGACAAGTATGAATGTGATATGACACATAGGTACGTTCTTCCCTCTTTCTTGGTGTTAGTAGCGGTTACGGTGTCAAAATGAGATAAGACGGTGCATTTTTAGTAGACGAATGAAACCCGTCTGTGGAAATAGCAAATAATTGACGGGTTTTTTTTTTAATTTTAATTTTAATTTTTTTCACATTTTCCTCCCCTTTGGTCCCTACAATTGAAAATGTAGCCAATTATGCATGTGGTTAAACGTTGAGGCCAGGATGTTGCTCTTGCATGCATCTCCATCACATTCAATTGGATTGGCCTCACATTCAAAGGGTAGAATTGTCAATATATAATTACATTTACATTATTTAACTAATATCCATTCATTTATTCCAAAAACATGTACTAAAATTGCTTTAAAAAAAATAAATTAATTGACTTATATTAGAGTGGCCGTTAAAATTATTTTCCTCAAATGGTAAAATTACTATAATACCCTCCATCTTAATTTTATTCCCTCATTTTGTTGCGCTCGAGAATACGACAAGCTCTCCACGAGTGACGACACGACGATACGACGCATCTTAATACATCTAATATTTGCCAACTCATCAACCTCAATAAATCGCCAGAATTTTGTCATCTTATACGTTTGTCCATTCAATACTCGTCCTACTATATATATGGTTCCAATCAATACCGAGATATAGTTCAATGAGTTAAAAAATTAACAGCAAAATAACGACATTATCATTTTTTTTTAATTTAAAGATAAAAATAAAATATCAATTTCTCGTGTTACATTAAACTTTGGACTCGAAATAAAAGATTTAAAAAAAGAAGTATTTGTTGCGAAGGATTAAGGCAACGGAGGTGCAATGAATGTGATGGGAAAGGCTTTCAAGAAATGGTCCTTAAACTCTCTTAATATCACATGAAATGGTCCTCAACTTTTGGTCAATTTCACAATTCACCCCACAACAACACATAATTGCCATCAATCACCCCCAACTACATTTCTATAATTTCAATAATTATATAATTAAGTTTTTTTTAAAAAATATTTTTATTTTATTTTACAAATACATTACTAAATCCAAAAGTATATAACAATTCTCTATTTATTTTTTTTTTTTAAAGAATTTGTGGGATTGAGTTTATGTTTATTAAATAAATTTTTTACTGTATAATTTTTATTTTTTAATATAAATTATTTAATTAATTTAGACAGCTGTATAGTTTTCAAATCTAAGACAAACACAATTCATAAATAGTGGTTATTTATTTCAATTAATAAATTAATAATTGAATCAACGAGGAATAAGATAAAAACAAAACAACATAAATGACTGAGTACATAAACGACTGAATACACATGTGGTCAGTTGAGTGAGGCTGCCCCACGTGGGTTGGCAAAGACCTAAAGCAAGGTGATATATGTGGTTCGAAAAATGTCAAATTGGTATGAGAGAATGTAGTGTATTGACTCGACACGTCCTGAAATATTAGACTCGAGAGTGGAGGCATAAAAATCGAGAAGCAAAATTGAATAAAGTAAGTGAAGCACGAAGTGGTGTCCTGAATCATTTTAAATGTACGACAAGTTAAAGATCGGAAGGTATGTCCAAAATACTCGGCTTTTATTATCTATACCTATTATCGGTTTAAGTATTGTCGAGAGCGTTGGAACGGAGGACTTTTCTCGATATGATTCAATTATTATTGGTGAAATGTCAAATTATAAACTACGGAATTTATTGCAATTATTGTAGTTTTAAAATTTTAATTTCTCATATTTATGAAATTAATTTGAATGCGAGTGGTTTGTTTTTGCTCGGCGAGGATGTTACAAACTGAAACGAATTGCACGTGCCGCCTGCTAGTGACGTGGACGAGTCAATTCTAGACACAATTAAAAAATAAAATAAAATAAATAATATATATATATATATATATATATATATATATATATATATATATATATATATATATATATATT